TTTTGTGTATTTCAGTATACATAAATTATATTTCAATAAAATGAATTTAAAAAACAAACAATAGTTTAGCCCACCTAGTAAAGAATGTCTGCCTTGAGCACTGTGCTCTTTTAAGATCTTCACAGAATCAAAGTAACAGCAGCAACTTTAAAGATTACATGGGAACCTCAGGGGGCAGTGACTTTGTGTTACTGAAGGAGGAACAACTCAGAAAAGCAGAGTGAAAATGGTTGCAGAACTCAAAGAATGTAATCAATGTCATTAGATTGTACATGGAGAAGCTATTGAACTAGTGTATGTTTTGCTGTGTATATTCCCAAATAATAATAAAATTTAAAAAAAAGAAAAAAAAATACTGAGGATAAAAATAATATAATAGAAAAGTGAAATTAATGGACACAGAAAGATAAAAATCAAAACAAAAAAATTTTCCCAAAATGCAAAAGTAAGAATTAAAACTCAGAAATTAACATAAATATGAATGTCTGCTGAAATGGGGTGGGGGAAGCCTACAAATACATATATACATATCCAATATATATGTACATATATAAATACACACATGTACCAAAATATAACACACAAAACACATACATATGTATACATGGTTACAGTAAGGTTTAAAATGATCTATTTTTTCCATTCAATTAGATTACAGTAGTAGACAGTTATACTACGTTTCCTAGCATTAAGAAATTAATTTTTTTCTTCTAGGCAGTAGAAAATTAAAATTTTTAAAGTAGTATTGTAATGTAATTATGTTTAAGTTTCAGAAAAATTACTCTGGCAGAGCCATATGATGGATATAACAGGAGTAATTTAGCGTAAAGAAACAGTTACAAAGTCTTTTATGGTTGGACAAGAAATGATGATAGTGTAAACTAAATCATGAGGGTCTGAAGTTAAGTCAGTGACAATCAAACCAACAACAAGGATTTATGGAAGATCCTTTAAAAAAGAAATAGGTACAAATGACCCATGACATTAAAATTAGTACCTTGAGAAGCTCTCATAAAATCCTTCATCTGATCTTTATGTTGTTCCAGTTGTCTTCGAAGATCCTTCAATCCTTCAAGCCTTGTCAATGGAAGTGCATCATAAACACTTACAGAAAGAAAATGGTTAATTTCCTAAAAGAGAAAATTAAAGATATAACATTCTCTATTTAGCACATACTAGTTATGTCTGTGAAATAAAATTTAATCAAAGAAAAAAATCACTAAGTGATGTGTATAGAAGACACTGACTGACAGCATTGTTACTATCAAACAAGATAAAAATAAACTATTTCTTCCATTTCAAATTCTACAATTTCTTTCAACCCTTTAAATTTTAATAGACTCTCATAACACAGATTTCAAGACTGTTACAGCATACTCAATTGAAGAAAAAAGCTTAAGATTCTATTTACTTAGTAATTTACTAGCTTTACATTTTACAGTATTTATTTTCATATTAATGAACATATAGTCAACAAGATTATGACAAAACAACATAAGTTTTAAGAAAAATTACACCTGATGTCATCTAGCAATAGGTCTCTACACGCCTGAAGCAAAAGATGAAGAAGAAGAGCAAAGAACAGGAAGAGGAAGATGTGTGCCTAACTGCCTCCACGGACAAATGCCTCCTTTGCCATGAAACCACAAGAACTTGTTGGTATCCAGCTACCATTACTGAACATTTTGAGCAAAGATTCCATATAAGACTCCTGATCCAAAGGGGGAAAATGCATAAGGGAATTTCAAATTCTCAAGGACTCAAGGCTTTCTGGAGCCATGGAAACAACTGAACCACTGAAACAACTAAACCACTGAAACAACTTCCCTGAGGTAATCTTTAAACCTTAAGCCAAAAATATCCCCTTAAGTCTTCTTAAAACCAAACAATAGTTTAGCTTACTGGTAATGAGTATCTGTCCTGTATACTGTGTTCTTTCAATCTATCTATATGGGATCAAATTGAAACAGCAACTCAAAAGGTTAGACAGGTCACTTAGAGGTCAGTGAGTTTATATTAATGGAGGAGGCACAACTCAGAAAAGGAGAATGAGAATGGCTGCACAACTCAAAGAATGTAATCAATGTCACTAAATGGTACAAGTACTAATTGTTGAACTGGTTATAGCAACAACAAAATTAAAAAGAAAAAGAAAACTGAACTTAGTTTTGAGGTCTGTAAAGATTAAAATAGGATTAACAATTGTTAACACTCTTTAAAAAGATAAATATCATCCCTAATGCAAATATTAACTTGTTCCTCAAAGGAGCAAATAGTGATTTTAAGATATTAATGGACCATAAGATCTTATAAACATCAAAATAAAGCATTTTTTATATGATACTCATTGACCATTTAAATTAAGAATAAATACTTAATATTTATACTTTTACTACAATGTAAGAGAACATACTAAGATTCAGCTTTTACTTCCAGACCATGAGTTATTTAAAAAGTCCTATTGTCTGTGTCTCTAATCAAAATAGTAAGATGATGAAATAATTATTACCTCCAAGAGTGAGAAAGGTCCTCTACTGTACTTGATTTTCTGCTGAGTTATACGCAAATCCTTAAAAACAACACGGTCAGGAAAAGGATCTAAAAGTTTAATTGTTAGATAGAGGTTTTCATTATCCTTGTTATCCATCACTAGGTATTTCAACAAGTCCAATACCTAAATACAATCAAAACAGAAAAACAATGAAGGGGGAGAATAGTTTAATAATATTTTAAAGTTAGACAACTAAAACCCAATGTAATAAAACCCAATGTAATAACTTACTAATCTGAGCTAGTTCAGATAAAATATTTTAATTACTTTAAAAATATCCGGCTATTCATTTGCTATGCTTTCAAATACTTCAACAAATATCTAATTTGCTACTATAGACTCTGCAGCATTGTTAAAAATGCCAATATCCAATACTAATTTCTGATCAAATTGACTTTAAGACAAAAACCATCATACGAGACAAAGAAGGACATTATATAATGATTAAAGGATCAATTGAACATGAAGATATAACCATAATAAATATT